CCAGATGGGGCCCCAGCCTCCGTCCTCGGACTCGGCCGTGGGAGGCCGGCCTGCCTCCGCCTGCAGACCCGGGCGAAGTCCTCAGACGGCGAAAAGGGCTTCCTTCAAGGCTTCGTCTGCCCTCAGTTCCTCGCCCTCCCCCACGCCGCAAGACACTCAAGCCCAGGATGCAGGACGGACACACAGACACTCAGTGAGGGTCAAAGAGCTTTAAATAAGGAGCCAGTGACAATAAATACTGTACAGGGGAGGGGGGAGGGGAAGGTCCAGATCTGTGGTTTCAGCCTCGAGACTCCAAGGACCTGCAAGGAGGGCGAAGAGAAGGGAGCCATGCTCAGGGGAAGGAGCCCTGGGAGTGAATGCCGGGACTGGGGTTCCAGAGGCAAGGGCCCAGGGAAGCGGGGCGAGGAATGCAGCGAGTTGGTTCCAGATCGTGAGATGGGAGGGAGCCGGGGGTCCCCAGGGGATCTGGCCAGACCGGCCAGGGGTGAGAGCCTGGGCCGGGGGCCAAGGGTCAGGATCCCAGGGGAGAGGGGCCGCGGCTGGGGGCGGCCCTCGAGGGCCCAGGGATCACTGGCCTGGTCTGGGAGTCGGGGGCTAAAGGAAGCAGTGGCGGCCCCAGGGGTGTGGCGGCCAGGGGCTCACGAGTAGCTCTGGTGCTGCTGGCGCCGGCGGGCGGAGCGCATCTTCTCGAAGCGGGCCTCCATCTCCTCCAGCACCCGCGGCGTGTACCGCACCACCAGCTTCACGGAGCCCTGGGCCGCCTTCAGCAGCTCCACCGCCTTCTCGTGCTGCTCGCCCTCCACGCTCTGCGGGGCCCACCACAGACAGCTGGGCCTGGGGCCCGCTGCCCTGGCCCGGGGCCCACCGGGAGAGGGACCGACTGCTGGTGAGCCTGGCGCCAGCCCCAAGACGCCAAGGCCTCATGTCCTCCTTGTGGGAGAGTCATTAACGCTTGGCTCGGTGTCCTCCTCCCAAATCTCCCGGACTCCTTCCCCACGCCAGGGAGAGGCCGTGCTCAGACGTCCAGGCTCGCCTCTGTTGCCCCCCTCCCCAGCCCAGTAGGACCCTCCTGCCCTGACTCCCTCGTCTTTGCCCCCCCAGTCCTGGCCCCAGTTCAGGCCTTGTCCTTTCTCCTCTGGACTCCTCCTCGGCCTCCTCCAGTCTCTCCCCCATAGAGCCCCAAAGTGGTCTTTCCGCACCTGCAAACTGAGCTTCTCCCTCCCTCACTCACTCACTCGCAGCCCTCCCATGGCTCCCCAGCACCCTTGGGACAGCTTCTCAAGCCCTGCATGGCTGACCCCAACCACCCAGCCAGCTATGTTTCTGCCCATTCTAGCCATGGTAATTTTAATTACCTGTATGTCCCAGACCTCCATCAGAACCAAACCCTTTCTCTTCAGCTCAGAGGCATCCCTAAGTGTAACACCCTCAGCCAGGAACACCCTTCACCTAGAGAACACCTACTCATCCTTCAACACCCAACCCAAATGTTCCTTACTATACAAAAACTTCCCATATCGCCACTGGCCTGGTGCCACATCTGGGCTCTCACAATGCTTTGTACTTCCTCAATGCTATGACTCTGAATTAGGACTATTTCAGTCAGGGTCTATCAGGGTCCATCCCTCACCAGAGAGGGAGAGTTGGAATGAGCTGAAAAACTTCTCTCGGAGTCTGCAGCACGGCTCAGCAGAGGGCTGGCCACAGAGGCAGTGCTCCATCAATGTGTGTTGAATGTATGTCAAAAGCAGAGGCTACGCTACCTTGGACAGGCTGGGCCTCCAGCCCTGCCTCATTCCCCCTACTCACCACACCATTCACCGACAGCAGCTGGTCTCCACGCTTGAGGCCTCCATGGCGGTCCGCCACGCCTCCCGGGATGACCCGGGAGATGTAGATGGGCGAGTTCTGCTCTTTGCCACCCATGATGTTGAAGCCCAGGCCCTCGTCCGTTTTGGGCAGCTCCACTACCCTGGGATGTGCGTGGCCCTCGCTGGCCGTGAAGGCGGCCACAGTGGCCTGGGAGAGAGAAAGCACTTGGAGGTGAGGGCCCCCTGGGGTGGGTGTGCAGGCTGCGGTGGGGTATCTGAGACAGGGATTTAGACCAGATGGTACATCCCCAAGCACAGAACACCTGCCATGACTCTACCTGGGATCCCCTGGAATGGCTGCACATCCCTTTCAGTTCACTTTGCATGCCACTGACATGTCAAAGAGAAAAAGTCTCCATAGGTGCGAGTGTGTCTTGAACCCCCAACATTTGCCAATCTTTTTTTTTTTTTTTTTTTT